GTGGGGGCAGCAGTCTTAGAAGAGAACCCCAGACTCTCCCCAGACACTTCGTCACCTTAGAATTATCTACCATTTTCGTCAAAATTGAGTTATTGATATACTCTAATTAAATGACAAATTATTTACATTATGGGATGTTTTTTTATAAGTTGTTTACATTTTAAGACATTTTATATAAAAAAAAAAACAAATGTTACACGCATACTGTTTGCTATGTATTGCAAAAACTTTGAAGCTCAATATCTCAAAATCATTAAGAACGCAGATAGAACCTTATAATTCTAAGGTGACGACTTCCTCCAGCTCCTCCTGGGGTATCCTGAGGCGTTCCCATGCCAGCAGAGAGACATAGTTTCTTCAGCATGTCCTGGGTCTTCCCCGAGGGCTCCTCCCAGTGGGACATGCTTGGAACACCTCTCTAGGTACGTATCCAGGAGGCATCCAAAATAGAAACCCTAACCACCTCAGCTGACTTCTTTCGATGTGAAGGAGCAGCGGCTCCTCCCTGGGTGACAGGGCTCCTCACAATCTATAAGGGTGCGCCCTGCCACCCTGCGAAAGAAACTCATTTCGCCCGCTTGTGTCCGAGATCTTGTCCTTTTGGTCTTGACCATAGGTGAGAGTAGGAACAAAGATTGACCAGTAAATGGAGAGCTTTGCCTTTTGGCTCAGCTTTTTCTTTACCACAATGCAATGATACATCGCATCACTACCGCATTACTACTGCACCAATCTCACATTCCATCCTACCCTCACTTGTAAACAAAACCCCCAGATCCTTGAACTCCTCCACCTGGGTAAGGACTTTCCTTTACACTGGAGATGGCAAACCACCTTTTTCCGGTGGAGCATTCCCGGCCGCGTCACACTCGGCAGCAAACGGCCCCAGTGTATGCTGAAGGTCCATGTTCAATGAAGCTAACAGAACAACATTTTCTGCAAATAGCAGAGATGAATTCATGTGGTCATTGTGCTGTGCTTTGAAATTTGTCTATTTATTTATATTTTATATTTATTTATATTTGTTTATTTATAAACCAATTTCGGGATCATCACGTGCTTATGATTGCTTGCGGCTGGACCTGCAATATTCAATTTACAATGAACCAATCAGACGATTCCTAAGCTACTATAAATACCTTAGGTTATGTATCACAGCTATCTTAATTTTGAAGAATCCCCCCTTCAACCCCTACTCTTCCACCTTTCTAGGTGGGGGGCATGGTGACCCAGTGCTTAGCACTTTTGCCTCACAGCAAGAACGTCTCTGGTTCCAGTCTTCATCAAACCAGTCTATGTTTCTGTGCGGAGTTTGCACGTTCTCCCGGTGTTCACGTGGGTTTTACCCGGGTCCCCCGGTTTCCTCCCACCGTCAGAAAACATGCAAAGTTTACTGACTAATCCAAATCGACATCATAGACATGATCCTACCAAGTACTTATCTCTGTAAAGAGCAAATCTGCTTTTTAGCCACCATGACAGGGGATTTCTTGAGATCTACCTAAGCTCAAACTCTCCTCTCGCCTTGCAATGGGAGGGAACCTTGAGGAACTTGTGAGCTCAGGGCTCTTAACCGGGACAGCATGGCAAACTAGCTTTATTATTAATCATCAGCTTAGTGTGAACTCTTAAAAAGCCTTGCCTGAGTCCAACATGCACTGGAAACAAGTTTGACTTATTGCCAGCAATGAGAACCAAACTCCTGCTTCATACAGGGGTGAGACAGACCTTACCAGAGTACCTCTGACCCCATACTCTCAGAGAACCTTCCACAGAATGCCACTCGAATGCCTTCTCCAAATTCACAAAACACATGTGGACTGGTTGGGACTACTCCCATGAACACTTGAGCACCCTGGTGAGGGTATAGAGCTACAAATTTCGTTCATTCATTCATTCATTTTTTTTTCTTTTTGGCTTAGTCCCTTTATCAATCTGGGGTCGCCACAGCGAAATGAACCACCAACTCATCCTGCGTTTTACGCATTGGATGCCCGTCTAGCTTTGCAACCCATCATTATACATATTTAATTTCCTAATATTATTAAAAATCAACAAATCTGAATGAGGAAATGAGCTGGCTTGTTTGTTATTTGCTTTTGTTTGTTTCTAATTTAAAACAAGTTTTAACAGATTCCCAATAGTTTTTTTGAATGATGACTAATAATAAATTAGCATTTTCATATTTCTTTGTTCAAAAATTTGTATTTGAAATTGTAATCTCATTACATTATTTACTGTAATAACGTAATGCACATTTATAAATAAACACAATTTTGTAAACATAAAATAGTATGGTAAAAACTGACAAAAAATGTAGGAAATATTTTAGTTGCATCGAAAAGTGTGGTTATGATAACTGTCTGACTAGCTAAATTTAGTGCTTAAAATGTCACTAAAATGCAGTATTTAAACCACATAATTTAATAGAAAGTGAGGCGAATGACTGCGAGAAGGTCCACTATTTGAGAAAAAAAAAAACATATTTTTAAAAGGCTGCCTATAGGCATGAAAATAAAAACACAATAATATGAGTTTATTCATTTAAACTTCTATTACAATTTCTGCTGGATTTTGTATCCCTGTAATGCATGTGAACTACCTTCATATCAAAACAACATCAAACTGACATCTTACATTTACGTATAAAAGACATGTCAAATATTTATTAGAGGACAGTCCTGTAATTGATTTCTGACATGTTTTTTGATGCCAATGTTAGATGTCAGTTTGATGTTGTTTTGACATCAAAGTAATCAATTAGCATAAAATTGACATTTTTGACGTGTTATTATGATGTTGAGAATGTTTTGACACTGGGATGTGTTTGTTTGTCTGATTACTGTCGCCTATATGCAATATTTTATTCTACAAAAAAAAGAAAAGAAAAAGAAACTGACTTTTCACAGCATCGTTTATGTAATTATGGAGTGATGAAAAAATATTCTCAGTTAAGAGCTAAGACTAGCAGATGAGCCCAAAGCTAAGACGTTTCTAGCAAGCAGGGTAAGTGACATCTTTTATAAATGGTGGTTTAGTTTTGTGTGGATTTCTTTTGAATAATTAATGCTGCACATTAGGAATGAGGGAAGATATTATTTAGATTTCCCCGTTCGAAACAACATCATTCATGCTGTTTCATGCATAGCCGAGAGTGTCAACCTTGGCTGTTTTCTGCAGATGTAACATCTTAGCATAAACGCTGCTGAGGATGAAGAGAGTCCTGGCTGGCGGTACAGGAAATGTGCTCGCGGTAGCTTGAGCGTTATTGCCCCCTTGCGAATAAAATCAGAATAACAGGACTTTGTATTTGTACCAGTAGGCCTACTTAGTATTATTAATGTTATTATCAGGTAAGTAGCGGTAGTATTTATTTATTTGTTTTTATATACCTTTTCCCAAGATTTTTAACTCGTAATGTCGCTATAACACACTCAATGCTTTTTTTCAACACATCCCATAATTTCTAAAATATCAACCTATACCAAATGGTTGATAAGTAGATTTGTGGTAAAAGTACTGAAATTAATGCATATACTATGAAAAATCTGAAAATATGAAGTGTACGACTAATTCATTTAAAATCAAAGTATTTTTTGAATACTAAATCATCTTTATTTTTTCAAGTATGCCCTAAAATATTTCAGATTCTAATTTAACAGGTTTTTCTGTTGTTGTTGTTGTTGTTTTTTTTTTTTTTTTTACAATAAAACCAAAATCTATTGGTGCAGCAGATTTATGTTTGTTTGATTTATTTTATTTTATTTTATTTATTTTATTTATTTTTTTTTTTTTGGTAAACCAGCAATGCTGTGTGTGTACAGTAAACCATTATTTAAAACCGTCATTCTTTAAATAATTTTAACAGTCAATATTTAAAATAATAAAAACACGGTTAACCATTTAATAAAGTGGGCCATTTTATTATTACTCAATTAAAAAAATTAAATTAGTTAAAATTAGTTTCAATTATTTCTATACATTTTTACAAATCTGCACTTTTGTTATATATTTGCCATATATTCATTCAGACATTTAGATATCTTAGTAACTGTAGTCTTAAATATGTATTTCAGTACTCGCCAATTTTTGTCAAGTTTTTCTGTAAATTTATTTGTTGTAAAAAAAAAATCACTTATTTTATGTGACATTTTTAACACGATATGTGATATGCACTTTTGCCACATATCATTCATTTATTTGTTCATATACATTTTTTATTTAATTTGGGTAAATTAACTTCTAAAGGTATTTCAGTTAGATGCCAGTGACTTTTTTTTTTTTTTGATTTTGAAGTTTACGGTTTTCATTATTTATTATAGTTTGATTACATTTTTAATGCAGGTTTAATTTACTTAGCCTACTTATTTGGCAGGGAAACAAAAAAATTGTAAATATCTGTAATGTTATATTTATTTGCTGTCATATTGTTAGCTTTATTTGACATTAGTTTTATTTACAATACTTAAAGTTTCTATGCATTTGTCCTCCGTTACTTATCATTTCGTTTTATTTCATTTATTTTTTATGCGACTTTGGTTGTAAACTTATTTTCATTAATTGCCAAGGTAACATTTTTAATTTCATTGTTATTTTTCCATCTTGAATTGAATATTGTATTACTTCAGATCTATTTTACAAGTTGTTGCCAATAATCACAACATTTAGCTTAAAACAGCATGGTTTGTTACTCTTTTCAGTGAAAGAATGCAACGCAAGATACTGAAGACAAATATATAGCGAAAAGCTAATCTTTTTATTATTATTATTATCATGAAGCCTGTTTACCCAGTAGTTTAAAAAATCAATTAAAGTTTTCAAATAACACCAATTATATCTTTTAACTTCATAGTCTACATAATTTAAAATCTCATGCCGCCTTTTATTATGGGCTTGAATGTAAAAACAACAACTCAAATCAATGATTTCCTGATCATTCAAAAAGCACCCTGTAGTTTTACAGCAAAGTTGTTTATAAAGAAAACACACACACATAACCATTCAGCCATGCATAATGATAAGCTTTAATAATGTTTGCATGTATTCCACCTCTAAGGCTTTATGTACAGCAAGTGCTTCAGTAAAAATGCTTCAATGGAAAATAAACAACACGTCACACATTTTAAAAATCATGTGAAAACACAGTTCAACCAAAAAACTATTTCAAAGAAGCTGCTCAACACCGCCGGTAGTGTAGACATTCATTGCACAGATTAGCAACATTAGAATTAAGTCACATTCTTTTAACACAATTTTTGCAAGCGGAAAAAACAAAATTGTCATGCAAACCCTGTGACTGTCCATCGATTTAAAGGGTTCATGGTCAAACTGAAACAAAAATAAGAGCAACATGCGATAGTGAAGAGTGAAAAAGTGAAAGAACTGCAGAGGAGACCAAAGAAAGCCTGAAATACTCACACCGAAGGCTGAACTTTAGATTTCTACATTAATTCTGCTAATTAGTGTTTAATTCACACAAAAGAGGCACCACATGTGCAGAAGAAACTGTTCTACTTGGTGTTCTAAACGTCACTTATTGCTTTGGTGCAAGAACTGAAGAAAAAAAAAAAAAAAAAAGAACATTCCACATATTTTACATCAACACTATTACATTTGTAAAACAATCATGTGCTCTGCATGAGAACATTCACAAAACACACATTATCCTACCGTATTTGGCAAGTGAATATTTGATTTTAAGCTCTGCTTCTTGGCAACACGTAATAGTAATTGACTGAATGGGATTGAGGGTGATGAGAATGGTGAATGAAATGTAAATACAGCAAGCGGAAATCATTTCTGTTCAAAGGATTATTCCAGGTTCAATGCAAATTAGACACCATTGACAGCATCTGTCAATTGCATAATGCAGCAGGTTGGGTTCAGTAAGTAAAAACTCATTCGTTTTCTCAATAACTTTGAGCTCATTCATATTATTTTTAAATCAATTCAGACAATCACAGGGGACAAAACCTCATTACCCATAATGCCATTGAAAATTCGACCAATCAGAGAGTTGAAAAGTTTTCAATTTCAAAATCAGAGGTGCGTGAAAAAATATAGATATGTATTTTAAACTTTAGCTCTGCTCTTCCTATACAGCCCATAACTGTCTCCATAATATTTGTATATTGCAAAATACACTGCTTCTATAGATACAACCAACAACTTTAAATCAATAGTTTTATATTTATCTGTTGATTATTTGATTGTGTCCTTCGCAATAATATTAAAGTCTTACTTTAGTCTTTTTCTGTCAGGCTTTCAAAAACGTCTGTAGTGAATCACCTTGTAGCTGGCTGGTTTTAACATTCTAAAACATGCATTCTAAAATCCATATGGGCAAAAACGAACAGGAAAAATACCTCCAGAAGCAGAGATGCTGAAAAAGTATATGATACTAATGCACTTGATTACAGTCATACAAGCCCAAGCCCCCTATTACAACAGGAGGACTAGTGAAATCCCAGTAACTACTTGACAAAATTACAATTACACATCTGATCTTATAAAATTGGCTATAAAATCTGGCACGAACTGCCTTAATTGTTTGTTATGCTCAAATGGCTCAGACCAACTTGGTCTAGCCAGTGTGCATAACCCTAAACGCAAATCTCAGGATTCTTTTTGAACCAAAGCTCCCATTGGCAGCAGAAGTGACACAATCACTTCACCAATCGATGATTGGCTCTTTATTCTATTTAGAAGGCAGGGCATATGGTATCATGTTGCGCAATAGTTTCTCCCATTTCTAAGTGTATACCATCATGGCATGTCTACTGCGCTCTCCACTAATATTGGCACCCTTGGTAAATATGAGCAAAGCAGGCTGCGAAGTTATTTTACAGTTGTTTTTTTAAGGGACAGTTCACCCAAAACTGAACATTCTGTTTACTCACCCTTTATGCTGTTACAAACCTGTTATTCTCTCTTTTTTCTGTTTTTACACGAATGAAGATATTTTTAGGAAAGCTGGAAAACTGTAACCATTAACTTCCACAGTGTTTGTTTTTCCTACAATGGTTGTCAATAGCTAGGTTTCTAAATGCAAAATAAACTAATGCCCAAAACTAGGATAGCACATAAAAAATTGCGAATAAGATTTGCAAAGATTCAACTCATCGAGTCAAAGACAATAATATTGTAGCTTCCTGATAATTTGGCACCAAATATAAAAAAGAAACTGGAATTTGCTGCATTTCAAGAGTTCACACTTGGGAGATGGGGTCAACAGTGCGATTCTTCAAAAACGAAGGGAAGGAGGGTTAAATGGGCTATTTATTGTAGATTAGGATTAATCTGATTGGTTTATCAATGATTGCAAATAAGAGACCAGCCGCGATCAATCATATGACGTGCTCCTCTCGAAATTTGTTTATAAAACTTTACTAAGAGAAGCCACTGTAGGACTTTTTCATACATATTAAATAACTTGCGACTCGAAAGGTCAAGACGAAAAACAACCTAAAGAACAGTAGATTTTGTAGGCACAAACACCCAAGACAGTTCTGAAGGTAATAATATTTAACCACTTTGATGACAGACTTTGGCTGAGGGATTTTTCTAACGACCAAAACAACATTTTAGATGTTATGCAATGTGGTCGGTCTGCTAGTTTTTACATTAATGCGTCCCATCGAGCTTATTTTTCTGTTAAAACAAAATCAAATGACATTTTTTGATGCGACTGATGGATATTATTCATTAAATGTGTTCCATCGTAATTTATGCACATCATAATACAATGCATTTTGTTTTATCAAATAAAACCTTTATCCTAGTCAGTTGTGCACATACATTTTTATGCAAATTTTCAAACTGCATGCGCATCTTGGCATTTCCATTAAGCATTATGTATGCGATATTACAAAATGCACATACAATTTAAAAATATCTTCTTTTGTGTTGTGAATAAAGAAACTCCTAAAGGTTTTCAGTTTTGGGTGAACTACCCCTTTAACTTTGACTGAATCTTGAATATTCCTTTAACAGATTCACAAGGACTAAAGATTATCCTTTATATAACAGCTCTGAAAGTACATGATACTGTATACAAAGATGGACCACCTGTTTCTAGGTGTGCCTGGTATCAGTGCAGTACAAACTCTCTGTGCCTGAAGCCTAATGTGTACCGACAGCTCTACCTACTGGTGGATAGGGAGCCCTCGGGTCCACATTCAGATGCTGATGGACACTTCAGCGTACAGTAGCTGTAAATATCACAATCGCTGTGAAAGATGGTGCACTTTTGCCATGCGCACGTACAATCAACATGGTCTCGAGCATCAGTGCTGGTGATCTTCAGGAGACGCTGGAGTGAGGATGTGTGGTGAATGAGACATGGGTTTTTTATGGATGGATGAATGAGAAGCTACAGGTTGACCAGGTGAAGGTCAGAGGCAGTGAAGTGAGGGCACAGTGCCATGTCAGGGTTCTTCAGCTGCTTCAGGACGCGCTTGTAGAACTTGGTGCGCACACGATTGAACTCCATGATGTCACATGGGTCTTCCTCCATCCAAAACCTGTGAAACTCCTGCATCAGATAACCTGATAGATAGATAGACAGACAGACAGATAATCTTTCAATAATTCTTTTATTTTTTAAATTAATTCATAAACAAATAATAAATATACTAGAAATAAATACTAAAAACAAATTATTCATTGTCATAAAATGTTTGTCAATATATTTAAAATTTAAACTCTTACCAGCCACTTTACTATGTACACCTGTCTAACGGCTCGTTAATGCAAATTTCTAATCAGCCAATCACATGGCAGCAACCCAATGCATTTAGGCATGTAGACATGGTCAAGACGATCTGCTGCAGTTTAAACTGAGCATCAGAATGGAGAAGAAAGGGGTTTTAAGTGACTTTGAACATGGCATGGTTGTTAGCGCAGAAGGGCTGGCCTGAGTATTTCAGAAACTGCTGCTCTACCAGGATTTTTGTGGTCTGAGGAGTCTTGAATTCTGCTGCAACATTCGGATGGCAGGGTCAGAATTTAGCATCAACAACATGAAAGCATGAATCCATCCTGACTTGTATTAACAGTTCAGGCTCCTGGTGGTGGTGTAATCTTGTGGGGGGTGTTTTCTTGGCACACTTTGGGCTGATTATTAGCAATTGAGCATTGTGTCAACAACAGTCTACCTGAGTATTGTTGCTGACCATGTCCATCCCTTTATGACTACAGTGTACCCATCTTCTGATAGCTGATTCCAGCAGGATAAGGCGCCATGTCATAAAGCACAAATCATCTCAGACTGGTCTCTTAAATGTGACAATGAGTTCACTGTAATCAAATAGCCTTCACAATCACCAGATGTTAATCCAATAGAGCACCTTTGGGATGTGGTGGAATAGGAGATTTGTATCAGCAGCAACTGTGTGATGATATCATGTCAATTTGGACCAAAATCTCTGAGGAATATTTCCAGTATCTTGCTGAATCTATGCCACGAAGGATTAAGGCAATTCTGAATGCAAAAGGGCATCCAACCCAGTACTAGTAAAGTGAACCTAATAAAAAGGCCGGTGAGTGCATATTAATATAATGTATACAATTATATATTTAATGTTTACAAAATAATTCATATTATTATTATTGCTATATTAACAGAATAAATATAAAATAAGTAAAGTAAAATAAATACATATAAATATAAACTACAATAATTTTTTTTACAATTTTTTTATAACTATTTAATTTCTATAATTATTAAATTACATTAATAATGCACATAACGTCCATTTTTAATGGCTGTTATGTTTACAAGTTTCAAAAGTCACCAGCAATTGGCAAGTGTGGAAATTTTTTAGTTTTAATCCCTTTAATTGTATATATATTTTTATATATCTAATTATGTAATAGTTTTGTTTTGTTTCTTCATAAATCTTTTAGACAAAGCTTTTCTCACAACAAGTACAATGGCGACATTATGATTAGTACTCACAGAAGGTCTGTTGGAAGTGCACTAGGCTTGGCATCTCTGGTGCCACATTATACAGATGAGTCTTCAGAGCTCCGCTCACCAGCAGGGAATAGGCCAGATCTGTGATGTTTATGCCAACTATAGCAAAAGAGTATCTGCGCCACAAAAGATGAGGGTCAGCACAAAACACACTTGTTTAGTGTAAATAAATATTATAAAATCCTAAGACTCAGCCAGTGTTTGTCTAAGTATGTGTGTGTGTGCGCATGTGTGTGTGTGCAGTGATTTAACAGGCTTCATGCTACACATCAGAGCTAATGCATCCTGAAAGCTCATGACAAGCAGAAGAGCCTGATTCAAATCCTCACACAAAACATCAGCGCAGCCGCAAAAGCAGAGTTCACACAAGTTCACACAGTGAGTGATGAATACGCACACACTGCACAAACATTCACATTTAAAGAAAAAATGTACTCTTTAGATGTATATAGGAGTGCTTGTTTTAATCATGTGTCTGTGCACTTTATTATTTTGTAAAAATTCATTCACCCTCAGAATCTTTAATCAAATATATTGTTTTCTCACCCCCCTTGAAATTAGTTTTCTTTACTTCTGGTCACGTGGAAGGCCTTTTGGGTGGGGCTATCAGCACAAACTCGTTTCTGCTCTGTTTTCATCCATTCATCAATTAAACTGCCTAATTAACGCTTGATTTCCGTTGAATGACATCAAAACAAGATGTATGGAGGGGATCAGCCCTTTAATAGTAAGAAATAGCTTTCTCTGATCTCTGGTCTATATGTTAAAAATTAATCATTAAAAATGTATAATATAAATATACATTTGACCCCCACTATTACAGTTTATACCATTGAGAATGCAAAACCAATCCTAGGAAAAATAGCATTCAACAGTCTGACACTGGACGTTCTAGAGCACCGATAGACATCTTAAGTATTCACAAAACATGTTTCTGGTAAAATAGGTGCTTATATCTGCATGTAGCCTAAAAAACACATCATTTGTATAGTTTGACCTACAGTAACCTCTAAAATAGTCACTAAATATCCCTCAAAACACTGAAAACGTATACATTTTATTAATAATTAGATGTAATTTAAATACATTCATAAATTTGATTTACTGAAGCATGTAATACCAAACTACTACTAAAAAAAGTTGACCCCCCCTGATCGTCGATGTATAATTCGCACACTAAGCAACCTCCAACCTGCAATCCTTCAACAATCCAATCAGTTCTCAAAGGATGAAATCATGCATCGATCTACTTTTTATCTATTTCAAATAGATGTAAGTCATAATAGAGGGAAAAAAAACTAACTTAATTTCCGCTTTATGCTAACTTTAAGAACTGGTCTCCATTTTGGAATATGCAATTCTACAGTCTTTTTTTTATTTTGTTGCTATGTGTTGCTAAGGTGATCAGACCTTTAAAGTCTATGTGAACTAGAAATTGCTAATGCTTTTATCGCCGTATGTTGATGAACTTCAAACTGTAGGGGATGGAGCTTTCTTTTTGCACATCATTTTCTCATACCAAACTAATGGTAAGGGGGGCGTGGTTGGGAATATCCTTCCAAAACCAACTGAGTTTCTTTTTTCAATTAAACACAGAAGAAGATACTTGGGAAACTAGCAGCAATTCATATCCATAACACACAAATTATTACTATGCAAGTCAATGGTTTCTGGTTTCCAAAATTCTTCAAAATATCGTCTTTTGTGTTCAGCAGAAGCAAGAAACTCAAACAGGTTTGAAATAAGTGCAGAGAGAGTAAATGATGACAGAATTTTTTTGAGTGAACTATCACTTTAATAGCAGGTGTAAACAGGACCTCAATGTGAGTATGCACAATAGTTTGCAATTTTCTGAACTCACCCGATCGCTTTGTCGAATTTCTTCTTTTCCCATTCAGCTTTGCTCATTTTGCTGTACGAAAAGCCAAAATGTTATAACATGTCCACTTAATCCTGATCTTAAACTGAATATAATGCAGCCAACTACTGAATAAACGACAACAATTACACACTGGAAAGAAAGAGAAAGCATTCGCAGCTACTAACCAACGTTACAATGGAGCAAAATGCCTTGTGTTTAGAGTGAGGTGAGGTTGGATATTTAAAAAACAACAACAACAAAAAATAGCCATTAGACTGAGGCAAAATGATCAAATGAGTTTTTTTACTGAGAGAGGAAAAAATGTACCTGGCTTCTTCTTTGGAAACGTCCCTGTGCATGACAGTGATGATGGGAATAAAGCAGAAGCAGGAACAGAAAAAAAGGAATGTGTGGGTGTGTGATGTGTTTTATGGTGAGAAAGCATGCTGAAGGTGTGATATTACATGGCATGAAAAAAATCTTTTTTTTTTTAAATATGCATGGTGTGCACACACACAACATAAAATAACACACTGATAAAAAGCTTCAATGACAAAAACCCCTTTTTTGCTCATGCATTTAAAGCTTAATGGCGTCTTAAAGTGCATTAGTTAAATTTAGCGGGCTTTTTCGAGGGATAAAACAATGTACTGTAAATGAGCCTGACCTGTGTTTGGGCTGCAAGGAGTCATGAAGAACTTGAAGAGCAGTGGCTTTGTCGTGCTCTGCAAAATACCTGCAAAAAACAAACAAAAAAAGCATGGCTATGTGAAAATCTATTGCTAATCAATAAAACTACTTCAAGTATACTACAAAAATAAATTTGACCTCATGTATGTTATTATGTATAGTATGAAATGCATTTAGATTATTGGTTCGTTAGCAAAAGGAAAATTATATGCTGACTACTAAAAACAAGCTAACTGTGAATGAAATATATTTCACCTCAAGTATGTTAAAGTCTGCAAGAATCAAAGGTTGTTGAGACTTTTAATTTCAGTATGTTTATGTAATTACAACTGAAATGGTACAGTACATTGAGTAGGGGACGGGCTGTCTTTTTGCGGATCATACATTTGTAGCAAACTAATAGTTACTTAACTTCATTGTTGAATAATTGTTCATGTGAGCTAGAAAAAATTAACATTGTTCATTTTGATATCACACAGACTTAATGTTTTTAGAATATTGGTGTGGTAGTTAGCAACATGCTAACATAAATTAACTAATAGAAACAAGTTTTGTGTAATTAAAAATATATTTTGCATCATGTAGGTTAAGTATGGGCGGTAAAATTTAGGTAAAATTTGGGCGGTTTTGAAACAAATTTTATATGCAACTTATACAACAAAGCCCATTCAGTTAGTAGTGACCAGGGGTCCGTTCTTTGTACTTTACTTAAATGATCCAGGATCCTGGATCTGTTAATCTTGATAACTGGTCTCTGGCTAATTTGGTTCTTCGAACAAGTTCACGAATCAGATTAAAATGTCTAGATAAACTGATCAGAGTTGCTGTATGTGTTGTGAAGGAGAGATTTATCGATTCTTGAAATCATGATCAGTAATGCACAGATTGGCTGACATCATCTGTTTAATATTGAATTATCCATTAATTCATTCTCTTGTTGGCTTAGTCTCTTTATTAATCCGGGGTGAATTCCACAGCGGAATGAACCACCAACTTATCCAGCAAGTTTTTACGCAGCGGATGCCCTTCCAGCCGCAACCCATCTCTGGGAAACATCCACACACACACTCATACACTACGGACAATTTAGCCTAACCAATTCACCTGTACTGCATGTCTTTGGACTGTGGGGGATTTAATTATTGGATTTAATTATCCAAGTGAGCAAAATTATATAAAATTCATAGTAAACAGTTTGTTAAATATGATACACAATAACTTTCCACATTTGTTGTGAGCTGCAGGCTTTACACTATGATGTGTCAAGAGTATTCATCATATATTTCAATGTATATCAATGTATTTAGTTCTACATTTAGAGATTTTCTTTATTATAGTAGCTTAGGCCTACTTAAGTTTTTAATTGACGTAAGGAACTGTATAAATTAATTTTGCATCAAAAAAGCATTTTGATATTGGTTAAGGTGTCTGCAACTTTTACGAAGCATCAAATCATTGGCATATTAGTGGTTAAAACACGTGTATGACTACATAAATTATTATCCTTTTTTTTTAAAGTTGAATACTGTGCATGTACGCGTTTGTATCTAAAATGTTCATATCAATAAATTTTCTCTTTGAACCATCAGGTGGCAGTCTTTGTACTTTTATTTTGAAGTGCAGATTGCATAAATTTTATTATATACATTTACTATTTTCCCAAGTGCATATAACTACTGTAAGAAAATATCAGCACTTGGTACATACTTTCAGTATTATCTTTGCTTGAACTAACCCAATATAATCCTGTTTATATGAAATAAACCTGCTCCCGAGCGGGTTTGAGCTACCGGAACTATTGCTATCACAACAAGTCTCAGATGAGTTTTGAAGAACGAAACGATCCTGGATTGTGTAAAATTATCAATATCTAAATCCAGCTAATAGTCCATGTTTGAAGAACGGACCCCAGAGCAAAGCACAAATCATGTGAGCCCACCCGCAAGAGGAGGTGAAGAAAAGTTGTATTAAAATCTGACTCCCCGGACAAATCTGACTCCCCTTCGCGTGCACACGCATTATGCAAAGCCTGCAGTTAACTCACAGCGGTTTATGATGACACTTTTATCGATCATTTTTTTCACAATTGATAGCAAGAACAAACATAGAAGCTTTGTCTGATTAACAAGCAGCACCTAATTATGTTATAAAGAATTTAAAACGCCAAATAGGACGAATTTATATCCCATTTCGAAAGTAAAACATACTCTAACATTACGTGCAGTGTGTGGGTGAGAGGGGGGCAGTGTTTCAATTATGTTGTGGTTCTGTGACTGCTGGTGTTGGTTGCTGTATGGTTAAAAATTATGTCAGTTAAAATAACTAGGTTAAATTTGATTTAAATAAATAACAATTTAATCAATCTATTAATCTTCTTTTGTGTGTGTTTTGGCTGGTTTTGGACAGCTTTTGGGCTTAAAAGGTCAGCTATATCTGGCAACACTGATAAAGTTTACCTGAATGCTGGTTTTGTTCTAATTAGTTCAATGATGATGTATATTATGTATTTAATACATGAATACAACATTGTTACAACCACATTTCACTGAAATATTTGTTTAAACTACTACAAAGATTGACTGTTTTTGCCATTATTTCACTTCAGCACAATCTGTCACTCACAGCAGGTTGTGTAGGCCCAGGAGACCCATGCCCCTGAAATCAGTCTTGGGGTCGTTTCCTTGAAAACCAATCTCACACCACTGCTTTGAGATGCGTCCAGAGAGAGGAGAATCGGGACGGAGTTCCTTCCACAGCTGGTGAGTAGACAGACATTTTAGATGGGTATCACTGAAGACTATTACTTATTTTAGATTAGTTCTGTTATGGCCTACATTTCAGCAGTGTTACAAATGTCTATTTCTTATTTTGTGAGAAGTGATACCTTCATGAGCATCTCCTCGTGTGCTGGGTTTTCACAGTCATACGGCTCTCTGCGCAGCTTCTCCACCTCCACTACTAGGTTTCGGTAACCAACAATCTGAAGAAGGCAAGCCTGGAGAGAAATGCCAAGCCTGGAAGAGGACAGAAAATACAGTGAATGTGTTTAAAAAGTAAGTGTACAGTACACTGTATCGTCAAAGGATCTTGATGAGGTCTTACTGTGGGTTGGTGTCGAGGTTAATCTTTTTCAGGGCCATAATGTCATCGATAGACTTTTCCACAGAATCTGGATGAACGCTGATGGCAGACTGCAAGAGCTATGGAGGTAATTGATAAGAAAGATAAGCTGTTTCTCCAGGATTTTTTTGTTTTGTGGCCGAAAATAACGAATTTTTTAACTATTTTCCTTAAAACACAGCATAATTTGTTATAAATTCTTGTGTTTTGCTCTGAAAATACAAATAAATCTTATAAAATTTTAAATTTTTGATTCCATGATTATTTGATTTCAAGAGGACTGGATTATTAATTTATTTAATAGCTAATATTCAAAAATATTATAAGATTTTTTTTTTAAAGCTTTGCATACAGAAGACAACAATATCAAACAATCCCTATTCACACAAATCTGAGCCGATCTGGTTGTCAAGTTCTCGGACATGCTTATAGACCAGCATTTCATTCATTTATTCATTTTCTTTTCGTTTTTCCGTTTTATTAATCAGGAGTCACTAACTCCTGATTGAATAAACCGCTAACTTATCCAGCATGTTTTACGCAGTGGATGCGCCTCCAGCCGATACCCAACACTGGGAAACACCCATAGACTCGGGCCAGTTTAGCTTATTCAATTTACTAACAGCATGTCTTTGTGGGAAACCTGAGGACCCAGAGAAATCCTAATTCAACAACAAGTGCCCTTCAAAGTGAACTCTACAGGATATTCTGCCATGACTTTAGATTGAAGGGTGCATGTTTCATTTAAATGGCATTTTAGTATGTGATATGCTCATTTTAATGTATTTATTTACAGAGATATATTATTTCACGTTTCTCTCGTAAGACGCTGCAAAGAGTGCCATTGTGTAAATCCATAAATGAATGTTCTGAAATAAAATAGTGGTTTCTCATCCTTGGGTAGATGGCAATGAAGGAGAAAAGACTAAGGAACAATGCCTAGGACCACGACTGAGGACTAGGATTGAGGTCGAGGACCAGAATTGAGGCTGAGAACCAGGATTGAGGACCAGAATTAAGGTATTGAGAAACGCTGCTATAGACTGAACATCTAATGAACATATACACATAACCACCTTTTTTTTTAAAAGCTACACATTCACAAACTTTTTTTGAAAGCCATTTTAAGAAGTTTTCAGGCCAGTAAAACACTGCTAATGTGTAATCTGCAAAGTCGAAATACAAAAAAGTTTTCTGTTTTAGCTCAAATAGGTGTCATGTAAACGCTTCTAAAACTAAAAATATTAAAGATCTTTATTAATTGAATACAGATAAAATAAAAATTTAAAAATTTGATTTAAAAAAATACAATAAAAATATAAATAAAAAAGACAATGGATTACAGAAATATACATAATAAAGTGACAAAAGCACATTGCAAAACATCTTTAACTATTAAATTGAATTAAATTTTAAAATATATATCCATTATATCATTAAATATTACTAAACTAGATACAGTGGGAATAAAACTAAATCTCAAGACTCACCTCATGTTTAGAGCATCGGAGTGAGGATTCTGTGAAATAAAAAAATATTAAAGAATTTAAAAAATGTCCCTTGATAATATAGGACTACAAATACTAATATAGTGTCACCATAATCACTGTTTGTATTTACCAATCTTGAGTGTCCTTCGAGCGCCAGGTTTGTTATTGTAACAAATGCGTTGAAGCTCACATCGTCCCGTCACCTTCCGGATGACAAACTTTAGGCCCCGCCACAAACACTTACAGTACAGGAACACCAGGAACTGGGTCAGTACCCTAGAAGATCCAGAGAAATATAGAGAGCACTGAACAAAACAATACTGATAGGCCTAATACACCTGTGTATTCTGTCCCAGAATAAAGCATACTCAATTTGGACATTATATCTGAGCACCATCAGATCATGTGTTTCTCATGAACGCTACTCGAGCTGTTCAAAGAGAAAAGCACTTTATTTATTTTTTTCTCTTATAATGGTCTGGTGTCTACAAAAGCTTGGTCTGATCCCTGTCGTAAAAAGCATGTTTTTAGACAAAGATAAGTGGGCCATGGTGATGAAATGGGTCACAGTTCTGTAATGATGTGAGGGATGAAAGTGAAAGATAAATGTAAACCTAATATTCTTTACTCGGGTTTCTAGTTTAGCAAGTATCATGCAGTATGTTTTTATGTCTGTTAGTTTACTGTGTGCATCTGCTCAACACTTGGATGAGTACATTCATTCATATTCCTGTATTTTAGGTCTGCCTTGTGATGTGATTTTAGTCATTTTTATTTGAATATATCTGATTTATATATATATATATATATATATATATATATATATATATATATATATATATATATATATATATATATATTCATGTGATAAAATGTACCATCCTTGATGGCAACGCGCTCAATTTCTATTTTAGATAGTAGATGGTAAAACAACACCATATACTACTAAGATGATCATCTCAGGTACAATTTATGTGCTTTATTCAGTGTTTAATGCCACCAATTTGAGTTTAAATACCATTTTACGTGATATTTATTGCCATACTACTACTGTAAAAGCAGCAGCTGTTTACCTCAGATCTTAAAAATAAAATAACTAGCAGATGGTTTGAAAAGGAACTTCATAACTTTGACAAGATCAGTCCCTCAGTAGCCTATAATTAATATGTTAAAGAGGTTTAATATGTATTAATTAGATTAAAAGTCTTTACCAATTCATTTGGAGTGTAGTGGCTGGTATTTAAATGTTTCTGTCATGTCACGTCACATTTGGTGCAGACCACCAAATTTCTTGTCTCTGGAATCTTGTCACGTCACGTGTTGTTAGGACATGGTGTTACAGTGTTTTGATTCTAACTTTCAATAATATAATTAGGCCACAGACAATAATGCATGCAATACAAACTCTTGATATTATTTTAATGAATTAATACATTTATCATTTAATTAATCAATCAATAATTCATTTGAATAATGTCAAAAATAATTTAATCAATACATGGATCCATCCATCCTCCCATATAACTGTATATAATCATTTTATTTACGGCCTATTTCACTACAGTAAATAAACCTGTTTGAGTCCAACTGCTGATTTCGTTGAGAGTTACTGCTCACAGGATAGACTCTCCTCCCCATCGGCATGCAATGAATTTGTGATCCGACCTGTATTTTGTAAAAAAAAGTGTTATTTTCTATCAAGGTTGTTGAACAGAAGTGACGTGTCTTGAAGGCAGTTTCATTTTCAGCACTTCAATAACAGACAGTTACTGCATTATAAGGTCTGGGTGATACATAAAACTAAACTGGCACATTGGGAGTAAACACTACTACTTGTTTCACATATACTGTACATCTTATATTGTAAACAATGTAATTAAGAGCAGTCGCTGATAAGAAAGTGCATAACTGAAAGTCACAATACAACTCGTCCACCAAGGGATTGTTAATTAAAAGGTCGTTATTTACATTTTAAGAGATATTGCTGATAGTAAATGTTAGTGGACTGAAAAGACCACAGACTGGTGGAGTTCCAGTGTAATCTCACCAGATTTCAAGTAGCACTGATGTGTTTAATTCATTTTTCATAATGATCTGTCAGGTTGCCAAAATAAGTGTGGTACTATAAAGGTTGCTATAAATATTTTAAATAAATAAGCAATAGTATATTACATAATATTTATGTCTGATTATTTTATACTATATAATATATATATATATATATTTGAGATTAAAAAAGAGAACTCAAATTAAATGTAATTTATATGCATAGAAAGTGTATTGCCGGTAGATATACATTATGTACTTTAGTATTTTAATTAACATTTGTGAAAATGTTCTGTAAATCAAGCAAAAATGTATGATAGTAATTGTTGTTTATAGAAAATAATAATAATAAACAGGACACATTATATTGTGTGGGGGAAAACAACATAAAAAACTGTATAGGCCTACACAAGTAATATTTGGATGCCTAAAAGCTCTTTTTTATCTTCCAATGACAAAATTGGTCCAGTGGCAATGATGCACGCAATAAAATGTGATTCTAATATTTCTGTTAACTTGTTAAATAAAACTATTCGTTATAGTTTTAAGTAACAATTGGCATCTAATTAATTCATTTTAAAAAAGGCGAATACATCTATTGTTTCTCTTTTTGTTTCCACATCAGTGACATAATTGGGCCACACAACAAAACATGCGACGTGAACTGATACTCTACATGAGTTTAATGTGCATTTGAAAATGAAAATGGAGGTAAATGAAGCAGTGACATTTCATCTTATATGCAATAAACGATTGGTCACAATTAAGCCATACTCACCTTAGAAAATGCTTCATCGCGATTATCTGCTTTCCTACAACAGTATAACTCACATTCGAGGGTGATCTAACCACCTGCACAAACACAATTGAAAACAAATCCACAGTGTATCTTTATTTAATCATAATATTGCTGCATTCAGCAGTCGTGGATACAAATAGCCAGGATGTCTCGAGGTCGTCAGTGGCGTTAGGCGGATTAAAGACGTTGCCGTGGGCAACTGCTCTACAACCAACATAACGGCTACATATCACTTCCACATATTTCATATCTTATACATTCCTTCACGACATATGCATTAATTACAATACAGTCAAATACCCCAGCTTATATAATGACATCAAGCGGACATATTTACCGTCGAGACTAGTTCATTTTTCAGAAACGTTAACGGTAAGGGTTATTCTGACCTCTTCTGTATTCTACACCACACATGACTGTGTAAAAAGGCGTATCGGGTATTAATGCATCAGAGTATCTGATAAAAGATAAATAAATGACAGGAACATACGTTTCAAGATGTCGCTGGGAATGGGAATATGCCTGTCCTCCTCTCTCTGTACGGCAGGTACCTGTTATTCCTCCATGATGAGCATGTGAATGAGGGAGGGCGGGCGCTTCTCAGCATCGCAATGCAGCGCTGCTCTGACTGCCGCACGGCGGCGGAAAGACCCCAGCAGACCTCTCTCAGAAGTTGGTACTAACTGTACTACATTAAGAACAAAATTGTATCTACACTTTTATCTTTAATAAATATTGCTTTTTCCACTTTTGAAATTTAATGGCAAAATTATCTTACTCTTTTAGAGCCAGTGTTTAGATGACTTAGGGGCCTTATTAAACCTCCATATTTAGGTTAATAAATGACTCAAATATAAGTTATACTTTTATTAATCTTTGTTAATGTTAGTTCATAAAAATACAAGTATTCATTTTAGTTAATAATTTAAACAATTTAACAAATGCTATAGTTAATCCATTACTGTGCCCTGCAAAGACAATAGTTTTAGCTTTTTTTATTAGGTAATTGATATTTTTTATCTTCTTCCTTACGTGGATCTGCATCTTGAACCTATTTTGTTGTTTTTCTCAAGTTTGTAGTGTTCAAACTAATTTGGTGGGGGAAAAAATGCAGTATTTTATTTATTTAATTTTTTTTAAATTAAGGGCTATAGGTATTTGTTAATTCTAACATTTAAAAACAATTATCTGCAACATGTATTTATTGAAACTTCTGCAGTCATAAAAACAGAATCAGTCAAAATATTTATATAGGTATATAAATAGGTAGCTTTTGCATCTGTAGCAGTGTTCTGCCAATAATATCTTAACAATATAACATGTGATGTTCTAATTTTAGCGCAACTATACTGCTTAAAAAGTAAACCACTTTCAAATATACATTAAAACAAAATATACATACAACATATTCATATAAAACATTCTGTTTAATAATAAATGTAACAAGTTTAATATGAACCATCCATCATTTCAGCTACAGGTATTTTTCACCTAAAGTATTATAACCTTTCAATTTAGTAACTTAAAATACACACCCATAATAGAATGTTTCTAAGAACATTAATACAAAAAACAAACCTCTCGCAGCGTCATACCCTCATTAATGAGCACTTCAAAATGAACTGAAATGTTAGCACCTCGGGTGGTTAAAGGTGATACTATACAGGTCATTACACTGCATTTTTTCAGCAAAATATTTGCTTTTTTAAATGTAACAGCTGAATTTAAATCTCAGCAGATTTATCTAACATTGATATGCAGTTTGATAGACTGTAGGCACACGGAAGTGGATTTGAAATCCACAAATAACACAAAATACTTAATTTGGCAAACCCTGTACATCCTTCAGAGAAAAATCTGTAAAATGTACTCTACATTGTAGAGCTTCATGTCTGTGAACAGATTCCATTGCAGGGTGCTTTGTGTGAAGACCATGTCCTATCGGGATTCTCTTGTCCTTCCTTTGGTAAACAATTTTCAACAATGTCTCCGCCTTGTTGGTAATTTGCAGATGAATCAAGATGATACACCACATCATCATTGACATGCGACTGATCTGCTGTGAAGGTTGGTACAACGTTGAACATGACAAAACCAACCATGATCACCACAAGAGACACGATGTACAGGCCTGTAAACTTCAAAGAAAAAGGAAAGTGCTTCAAAAACTTGGAAAGAACTGAAAATCAATTAAAAATTGTCTAAAGATTTATTAGCAGAAATAAAGAATTTATAAAAAGGTCAGCCCCTCTGGACAGTTATTATATAAAAAGAAGACAGTGAGACAGATATTGGAACATTTTGTGATCTTCACTTTGGATTTTCCATTTTATTGATTTTCTAAAAATGTATTTTTTTTCTGCTCACCTTGTAGCCAAAGAGGAAGATGCCACAGAAAAGGCTGAAGAGGTCTGCGGTCAGCAAAGAGAGGTTTACAGCTGTGGCACTGGTCATCTTTACCACCACAGGCATGAAACTGTACAGCCCGTACATACACAGAGTATACGCAAAAAAGAGCAAGCCTACAGAATAAAAATACAGGCATTTACCCATCTAATCTAATGAAAAGGAAAACAGAAATTATGAATTAAGGAGGTTTAAAGGGGGTCTAATCTTAAATTTAAAAATGTTACTCACATTTTTGCCAGTCCCAATTGATGGCAGGTATAGCTTTGTACTCAAGTATAGCCCTTTAAAATACAAAAAGGATAGTTACAGATATTACACCAAAAATGAACCAGGAAGTGCTTGACAAAAGCACCTGTAGGGAGCTTACTTTTTCCCCTCCATATGCACCAGATGATTTCCTACAAACACTCCAAGCACTCAATAATAAAACTTATATATATATATATATATATATATATATATATATATATATATATATATATATATGTATGTGTGTTAATTTCATTAACAACTATAATGTAGTGAAATAATATCATTTAATATAGCAGGTTAACAATTTATAATGTAATTTAATCCTGTAATGGCAAATCTGAATTTTCATTTAGCATGGATTATGAAAACGTGCTACGTAGATTAGCATCTGCCTACATTTTGTAGTATGGCACAGCGAAAAGGGGCAGAACTAAACGAGATGATTAGACATTTAAAAAAGCAAGCGATTGGTTCATGTTTAAAATTTCTGTACAGAGGTCATGTTTTGATCCTTGATTAGTCTTACGCAGTCAAGAGATGTGATTTTTCAGGTCAGAGATCATCAAGCTTAAACTTTCCAACAGAGCAAACTGCAAAACTTGTCGCGCGAGCTTGCGTTTCCGGTCTGATGCATTCTCATGCATATGAATGGAAGTCTATGTGGAGAAAAGTGCAGCGTGACTGCAGCTTAATTCTATCAGCTATTTTTATTTTATTTTTTTACATTAAAAACAAAACTGTCTGATTACACCATGACACGACATAACCAATCTGCAATCTTTTTGCCAATCATTCCCATGCATAAAATATTACTCTTCATGGACATTAGTTAAAAGTAAACTTATTGGAAAGAAGTACTTATTGAAACAATAGTTTTATGTAACAGTTTACATTCAGCACTGAAGGTAGAAAAGCAAAACATGATCCAGATCTATGCAATCCTGTGTAGGTGATCTATTTTGATTTCACAATAATGAATTTTTAACTAAGTGTTGTGTTTGCATCCATAATGAGAAAAAAAATCGTACTGATAGTTATGTACATACCATACTGCACACCTTTTTAAAAGCAAGGCTGTGTCTCTGGATGAAGAATGAGCATTTCAATTGAAAGACGGTTATAAAAGTAGAATATGAAGTGGTGTACACAAAACTTACATTTGCACCCCACTGATGAGAGTGCCAAAGAGCCCTATCATGCCTATGTACTCCACCCTGCTCAGGTTTTTCACAGTGTATTCCTGACAGACATTTGACACTGCATACAGAGCAGCACTGACCAGCACGAGTCCATCACCCAACAACACATGACTACCTGCAGTCATAGACACACACACACACACACACACACACAACAGAGACTCAAAGATCTATTTTTGTGCAAGATTGACATTTCTACGATCCATGATAAAATCTTTAGTCACTCTTGTTTGATATCTTTTGTAGCAGGAATAAAAAAAAAAAACTTCAGGTTTCTGATAATGATTACTTAAAACACTAAAAGCTTAGTATAACAAGCTTGGCCCTCTTAGTATGAAGAACTTACTTGATCCTTGGTCTCGCCCAGCCAGCAGATCTGCTCCTACCATCGCTCCGACACCAAACAAACACACAGCCACAGAGACAAAATGCCACGGCCTGTAGCGAGTCTTTAAGAAGATCCATGACAGTACCATCAGAACCGGGATCACAAAGCAGTCCAGCAGCTACAATACATAACCGTTAGTTTATTAGATTAACAGAAAAGCTACAGTAATATGAAGACTTGGTACAAAATAGGGCTTTGTGGGGGATAGGCAAGATTTGCCTATTTAAGTACATTTGATTAAAGGTTTCAACACTTCAATGTGGTGTGATATCAGCAGTCACTGATAATCAGCTCAACAGCGCAAATGAACAACTCTTTACTTTCAGTTATAGCACAAAATAAACATTTCTTAAGTAGCATTTCATCCATGAAAAGACATCAGTAAAAGAGCTTGTAAAAACATTGTCACATAGCATTTACTTCAGAAAAGTCGTTCAGTGTTCAGAGCTTGTTGGCTCACTAGACTAGAGAAATGAACTTTAGACAAGTGCGTTTCTCTTAACATTTGAACTATTTTGGTGTATAGTTTTATTTGACTTAATCTGTTATTCCCAGCTTAAATGTATGCATACAGTTTAAATCTGTCATGAAAACAAGTTGTGAAAGTTACTAAGTAAATGATTACATACAGTTCAACAATGAACTGATGTAGAAACAAGCAAAATATTTGCCCTATATTAGTGGATATATTAGTTTTATTAGTTTTGTTAAGTTTTTCATTCATTCATTTTACTTTTACTACATACATTAAGATGTCACTAATAGGTTAAGTAAATTGGTCATAAAATGAGGAAAGCAACTTTTTAAACAATGAATTAGAGTAGAGACATCCTAATAGGCGATATGCACAGCTAGTGTTTTGTAGCCAATGATGAACTTCCAGTAAAAGGTTTGTGACTTTTATTAATTTCATAATTAATAATTTCCTTTTACAGCATTGATGTTGTAATGTAATTCAAATTTAATCAGTTAAATAGACTTAAGCATCTATTTGGTTGTTAAAGAGAAAAAAAGTGTTAAAAAGAACAAAATAAAAAGAGATGAAAACCTGTTTAAACGCATGCGCCATCATTAGCAGCAGGTGAGTGCAGAAATTGCATTGAAAATACTGGGGAAAACCTAATTTCCATATTTTAAAGACATGGCGCGGAAAAATATAATTTATTGCAGTGTTTCTTGTTTGATCTTAATGCTACTTTTTATCATATTACAGCCAGGCAGTGAAAATTTACTGTTTTTATTTTTTTTTTTTAATCAGATCTTAAACGCGGTGATTTTGTATAAAATGACAATTAAACGGATACCCTGGGGCTGGCTGACTAAGGCCATGTGCATATACCCCATTAGATTTG